TGCTGGAGTGATGGTCAATCTGAATGTTACTCTTTTATTAGATAGAGAGAAGCTTGGTGCATGGGTGGTGGTCAGCTGGTTTGCCCTGAATCAGGGTGGGGGATTCCTAGATCAGGGTGGGGGATTCCCTTGGGATTTGGGGTGGCCTGGGTGACAGGCCTGTGGTGCTTTGCAGGCCAGCCATGCCCCCGGGGACCCCAGCAGAGGCCCTGGTATCTGGAATTGATTTACCTTTTACAATTGAAACTTTGTAGCCTGGAGCAGAGCCAAGCCTCCTGCTTGCTCCATAGCTGCTGCCATTTCTGTTTGGTTTTATATGTCTTCTATAATTGAAACTTTGCATCCTTGAGTGGAGGTCTAGGCTGGCCAGGGTGTGTGGAAAGCTTGGCTTCTTCTGTTGCTGGGAAACCCAAGCCTCTCAACTACCCTCTGTGGCTGCAGCTATCTTGATCGCGGTTAATTTGCATATTCACTCTGATTCTCTGTGGGTGTGGCTGGTGGGCTTGGCTTGAACAGAGTGATGGTTAATTTGCTTATTACTCTTTTATGAGGTAGAATTATAATAACTGTTAAATTGAACTTTTAACTGAATTTTGATGTTCCCAATGACTTATTAGTAATGTTTGAATTTTTATAAATAGGAAACATTTCATAAATATACTAGAGTCTCAGTGCACAAAATTCATGCACTGGAGGAGATCCCTCAGCCTGGCCTGTGCACTCTTGCAGTCTGGGACCCCTCTCTCCTTACCGCCCACCTGCTTGCTCCCACCACAGCTGTTACACTTACTAGCCCTGAATCCAGCTTCTGGCTGAGCAGTGCTCCCCTTGTGGGAGCACACTGACCACAAAAGGGTCAGTTCCTGCATTGAGCGTCTGCCCCTAGGTAGTCAGTGCATATCATCATTATCAGCTGTTCCAATTGTTCTGCTATAACAATTACTGTGGCTTTTATTATATAGATGAAACTACCTGACAATCAATGTGCTCTCCTGAGGGGGTCCCAGATTGTGAGAAAGCTCAGGCCAGGTCAAAGGACCCCACTGGTGCATGATCAGGGTTAATAAGGGATGCAGGAGTTTGGCCAGCTGAGGAGGGAACCAGGGCATGTTTTACCCATCTTGCTCAGTCCATGTCAACTAGATCCCAGCAGCAAGCTAATCTACTGGTAGGAAAGTCTGCCCCCCCACCCACACCCACCCCATGGTAAGTGCATGTCATAGTGACTGGTTGACCAGTTGACTGTCTGCCTCTGTTGGTAAGTGCATGTCATAGTGAGTAGTTAAGAGGCCTTACATATCATTATTATATTACGCTTTGATTGGTTAAATGAATGACTGGATGACTGGACACTTAGCCTACTAGGCTTTTATTATATAGGATGTTATATATTATATATAGGATGTATATAGGATGTGTTTGTCAAATGTGTAAAAAAATATTGTATATTTAAAGACTTTGCTCAAATTCCTTTTTACTTCTATTCTCCACAAAGAAAAATTACCTTCCTGTTCTGTAGAAATAATATCCATATGTCAAAAATAATCCAAAATGATAGGCCAATGTCAGGGTGCCATTGGATGAACCTTCATTTCTCCCAGTGATTTACAAATGCCAGTCCAATAATATATTAAGCCCATATATATCTGGTCTTGTTTCTGGCTTCTCTATTTCATTGTATTGGTCTATCTGTCTAGCCCTTATCTAACACTCATTCCTCATCTGGGAAATATGCCTGAACTGTTATAGCTCTTGAGAAAGCCTTAAAAGGGTGCATCTAACTTAACAACTTTACAAAAAAAAAAAAAAAGGTTTTCTTTTCTCTCTTGCATGATTGTATTCTACTTATTTATTTTTGTGTTTACTTTTTAATTTCCTTTTTTTTCTGCTTTGTGTTAAATTTTCTGGGGATTTTTGTAACTTTTTAACATTTGTACTTTGATTATTAAATTTGAGTGTTTCTGTTTCCTAAAACATGCATATACTTCTATAAAGATCATTTTAAAGAAAGTTTTGATACTCCACAAGTTGTAATATGTTATACTTTCATTATCATGAAACTAAAGTATTCAGTTTCAAATACTTTATAATTTTTGTGTAATATCTTTTTTACTTATTGTCTAAGTATATTATTTCAAAATATTTGGTAATTTCCTTATTATCTTCCTATTAAAACTATAAAACTAATTTATAGCTTAATTCCTTGTTTTGGAGGAATATGCTGTGATTTTGATTCTTTGCAATGTTTAAGACTTTCCCTATAGTTTAGCATGAAGTCAATTTCTATGAATACTCCTGGACCACTTGAAAAGAATGCAAACTTTTCAGTATGAATTAGATTGATGGTGTTTTGTTCAAACTTTCTATATTTTTATTGACATTTTGTCTACTTACTCTTTCAAGTGCTGATGGAAATCTGTTAAAATCTTTCATTAAAATTTTTTATTGTAGTTCTATCAACTTTTTTCCCTACAAACTAAGGCTATGATTTTTAGTACATATAAATTTATAAGTATAACATCTTCATGATATATTTATTGTTTTATAATTTTAAAATATTGTCCTTTAACTCTAGTAATTTTTAAACTGTCTGCTTTGTTTAATATTATGTCAATATACTAGCTTAGCTTTGTATTCATTTCCATTCAAATTTTAGTCTTTCGTGTCCTTATATGAAGGTGTTTCAAGTGATTAAAAAAAATATCTAGTCTGACAATCTTTGTCTCATTTAATTGGAAAGTGCACTGTATTTACATATAACTGATTTTGCTACACTCTATTATTTCTTTAAAATTGCCTCCCCCCCATCATGCCATCCTTCATGTGAGCTGAGTATACATACTGCTTTATTGACCTTAGGTTTCTCCATTTGTCATTGATCATTGGGATGTAGGTAAAATTATATCTCCCTTTTAACCACCTGCTTTCTGTCATGGGAACATCATATCCCAGGAATATTGCTCTTCTAGTCTGAGTCCCAGACTAAAGAGACAAGAGAGGCAAACCAGAGCCCAACCAACAAACAGCCTGAGCTCAATGAGCTCAGTTGGCACAGTCTATGCTCCAGTTGCTAATGGGCTGCAGGAGCAAGACATAAATATTTTTACAAGCCATGGAGATTTTGAGTTTTTTTTGTCTTTATATAGTCTAATAAGAGTTAATTAATTTAAAAAATGGCACCATACATTTGCTGTTGCTATAGAAAAACATAAAGCATGTGTCATTGGCTCTTGGGTGGAGGAAACTGTTACAGGAGACTAAAAAATAAAGGACAACACACGTTACAGGGTGTGAAAACATTTGGTAAGATTATCACCTGTGATTACTTGGGAATAAGACCAGTTACTTAATAAACCTGATTTTGTTTAGTAGCTAGTAAAAGAGAATATTAATCACTTCAGTTGGATACTTTTAGCTGTATTCTTACATTATTATAAGACAGAAATATGCTCAAAAAAGAATTGGTGTATTTGCCAGGAAGCATAAAAGAGAAAGAAGAGAATTCAGACATTTTTTGTACTCATCTGTTTATCTGCCCTTGTGAGGTTAACCTAACACAGACTAGAAAGGCTCTGGCTTTGGAATCACATAGACCTGTTTCCACCTCCCTGTTCAGACACCTGTTGGAAATATAATGTGCTCTTATTAGTTAAGAAAGGGTGATTTAACTCAGGTTATAAGCAATTCCAAAATATCAGTATTTTAAAAACCAAAGTTTATTTCTTATTTATGCTGCATATCCAACATGGGTGAACTGAAACTCTACTTGTCATGGTCCCACTCACACTCTTTCAGACTGATGGAATTTTCAGTTCACCATAGATTTCCATTTGGCCGAAAAAAGGGAACATAGAACTATACAAACATCAAGTTAACTTTAAGAAAACAATAGACCAGTATGAGCTAAAGGCTCTCAGGCATAGTGAATAAAGGCAGCCTGGTCCTGCTTTCTTAGAGCCCATGGGAATATTTTAGTAGAATTTAAGGGGAGTGCTAAATTTTGAACAAGATTATTAGCACCCAGCTACAGTGACAAATTAGCACCCAGCTACAATGACATATAATACACTGTTTAAATATTTGTGCACCATTTATTTTTATATCTTAATACTTATTGAATCTACATATGATCTAATGGTGATTTAGACACCAGGCACTACAGTAGACATTAGAGGAATGATAAATGAGGCATAGTCTCTGACTTCAGTCAGTTTATCATCTATAAAGGACCTATTGCAATAGCATGAGCCACAACACACTAAGTCATACACACACACACACACACACACACACACACACACACACACACATTCTAAGCGGCTCTGAAGAGCTCTGCTAGAGGAAAGTTTATTTATCCTAATCGTGGTATTTTGTTGTTTGTTTGAGTGTTTTCACCTAAAAATTATATTTTGAGTTTTATGACAACTTCATCCTTACTAATTCTTAACTGAAAGCTCTAAACTATAATTAATAACGAATGGTTGCAGAGCTTTAACTGTGTAATCAGTATGTTCAAAGCACTGTGTATTGATGGCCTGATTTAACTATAACAAAGAGCCTTTCAGGTATTATTATATTGTGCTACCTATGAGAAAACTGAGGCCAGAAGGTTAAGAAATTTCTCCAAGTTTCAAAGTTAGTAAACAGAAGGAGATCTGGGATTGGAAACCAAGCAGATTTAATCTAAAGCCATGTTTTGTGTGTGTGTGTGTTTTTTTGTTTTGTTTTGTTTTGTTTTTTTATCACTATGCTGTGTAACTTTTTTTTTTTAAGTCTGAAGGGTTAATTTCCACTTCCACTTGACTAACCCATTGACTTTATAGAGATTCTGATTTTCATTTTTCCTTCAGGTTCAGAAATCCTACAAAACTTCCCTTAAAACATAGTCACATTTTACCTTTTTTAAAATGTAACTGGCTCTCAGCCATGGTAGAGAACATGCTTTTTGATCTAAGTATCTCTCTTTTCCTCTCTTTCTAACATCATTTATTTTCCCCTAGGTCTCTACAGAAGAAGGGCTGGGTCTGGCCCGAGAATACAACTGTGCTTTCTTTGAGACTTCAGCAGCCCTCAGATTCTGCATCGATGATGCATTTCACGGTTTAGTGAGAGAAATTCGCAAGAAAGAGTCTGTGCCATCTCTGGCAGGAAAGAAACTGAAGAGGAAAGACAGCCTGTGGAAGAAGCTAAAGGGCTCATTGAAGAAGAAGAGAGAAAACCTGGCATGCTAGCTAGCCTCACTTCTAACTCCCCCTCTTTCCTCTCTCTCTTTCTGAATTTTTATCAGTTAGACAATTCCAGATGTTTCACTCTACTTCAATTCTCTCTCTCTCTCTCTCTCTCTCTCTCTCTCTCTCTCTCTCTCTCTCTGTCTCTCTCTCTCTCTCTGTCTCTCTCTCTCTCTCTCTCATACCTGCCTGTAGGTAAAAGCAAGATCTGCATAACTGTACCTCCTGAGATAGTTTTGTTTTGCCCTTAACAGTTGGATGAGTTTTGTCAATCAGTTGGATACGCTGTTTAGTTTTTATAATATATGACTAAATAAAATTGACATTCCAATTGACTCATTTCCCTTCAAAGAGTAGAGCTTCATTTGGTATGCTGTCTGGTTATAGAGGGAATATTCAAAAATGCAGACAGAATGATAAAAGGCTCCTGGGACCTGCCTCTGCCTGATAAGCCTCTGGTTGTTTGCATTCCAGGAACCAGTAAATAATGAAGCTGCTCAGGCAGGGGTGCAGAGCAGGAGTCTGCAGCCTGGAGCTTCCTAAAGGCTGGAGTTGTGGTGCTCTCTCTGGAAGGCTCCATCGATGACCCTCAGAGGAATAATTAATAACAGAAACTGATTGAGGATCACTGGAGGACTGAAGTGAAATATCCCCATATTTACAGTGTTTGGGGGAAATAATCAGTGAAGTCACTGGGCTGAGGCAAAGGGGTATCCACTTTGTATTAAGGAGAGGTGGCTACTGTGAATTGGGTGGCTCATATACTCATAAAAGGACACCCTACTGGTGTCCCTCTTGGGGCTGCCTCACCTGTGGTGGAGACATCTGCAGAGCAAGAGGCTTGTTAGCTCCAGAGACCCTAAATTCCTTTATTTTGCCAAAGTTTCTGATCTTCTCCAACTCAAACCATACACCACCACCAATTAGAGGACCTTTTCCTTGTTTGCTTTACAAAGGATCATCAAGTAAAATGCAATTGTCCATTAACTCTTTTACCACATTGTCTTATTCAAATCTAGCTCAAAAAGCACCCTACCAGAAAGAACTGTTCTGAATATTTAACTGACAGATGTTACAAGGAAAGCCATGAACAGACAACTAAAGCTTGAGAAGGAACCCATCAAGCCAATCTTCATGGGTTGGGAGAGTTTTTATTATAAATTAGAGACAAGGAAGGATGAGGAGCTTATCATGCCACATGCAGACACTTTTCTATGACTTGCAATACCCCTGGTAGTTGCTAATCACTGAGAATGCAGAAATGAATCAAGGTAGCCTAACAACTAGCTATGAGACTGCCATGATTAAAGAGCAGTGGGATATTAAAATCTTAGATGGGAAGACATATTTTTACATAGTAACATGGATACAACTGAGAATTTAGAGATTATAGTTTTTCAGCTGGCGTACTAAAATCTCAGCCTTTCAGAATCTTGTACTTGTGGGGTCCCAGGGCCTTTCTGAGACCCACAAATACTTCACTGTTCTTGCTCTAGGCCCTGGAGCCAAGGCACTGAACACAAAATCATCACTTGTTACTAATTATTGCCATTCTGTCTGGAATTTTTCTCAAACCTCATTTTAGATGGACTAGGGCATAAACTAGTCAGTTTCCCCCATCCTATGCAGCCCCTAAAGTCAAATTTACACAATCTTTTCAAAAGAAATTCATAATTAGGTAGAAAAAAATCAAACCATTCAAGAACAGATGTGGAGATAACATCAAGACAGAAAGGGTCTTACAATCAAAGAAACGATATTTGCTTCCTCCTCTCCTTGGTTTTTAACATTTTTAAAAATAAATTTTTTATTTATTTCAGAGAGGAAAGGAGAAGGAGAGAGAGGTAGAAACATCATAGATGAGAGAGAATCATTAATTGTCTGCCTCTTGCACAATCCACACTAGCGATTGAGCCCACAACCCGGGCATGTGCCTTGACTGGGAATTGAAGCATAACCTCCTGGTTCATAGGTTAATACTCAACCACTAAGCCACACCAGCTGGGCAGTTTTCGATATTTACTACTTTTTAGTTCCATAAAAATATGTTAGTATGTTTGTTGCCTGCTACAGCCCCTGAACCCCAGAACCCTTCCAAATCTGGGGAGACCCTGTGAATACTGCATTCATCAGACTCTTGTGTGAGCTAGAAAATGTGATCTAGGAAACAGAGTTGGAGGTACCTAGTTACATACGATGAAACTACATGTTTGAAAAGCTGTCTATGAATAATAATAGTGACTGGTATGTTTCCTAACACAGCTAAGTCTTTGTAAATTTTAATGTCAGCTTCCCTGCCTTTAGCTCTAGAAATCTGAATCTCATTTCTCTCTCTCCCCTTCCTTCTATTCTTTTATTCTTCTCAATCTTTAATGAATAATGTATGCAGTTTAGAAATTCTTAGTGAGATTTAGATTGGGGAAGAGTTACCAAGTCCCACCACTTCATTCTATAGAAGGAAAAAAGTCTGTAAATTATCACTCAAGGGATAGCATGAATTTGAGAAACTTATCACTAGCGGAAATAGAGGCAGACTTTAAGCATTGTTTGAAATCGGTCTTCTTTCTAGAAGTCTGGACCAGAGACAATGTGCCAGAAAAATAGAACCTAGTATTTCTGCCCAAGGACTATTGATCCATTCTCTTTGGCATAATACCAAAATGCCAGAATCTCATGACCACTCTTCCTGAGACTTCTGACCAGACCTAGGATATCTATGTCAATCTCAAACTTTCACAGAAGAGAACCACAGTGTGGCCTTGCCAAGAGAGTGTCAAGAAACTGTTGAAAACAAGTATAAGGTCCATGGTAGACAAATGTGTAGTCACCTAACACAATTTATCAAATAGCACTGTTCTAGAAAACCCTTATGCATAGGTGAGATGTATGTGTGTGTGTGTTTGATGAGACAGTAGGCAATTCTGAATATAATTTCTGCTCTCCAGATCTGTATCATCTATTTATTTTTTATTAAATTTACTGGGCAACATTGGTTAATAGGATCACATAGGTTTCAGGTATAGATTTCTATGATACAAGATCTGTATATGACATTGTGTGCCTGTCACCCAACATTAAATCTTCTTCCCTCACCATATATTAGGCTCATCTATCTATTTTTAGGTATTCTTCATTAACTTATTTTGTGTTTCCCTATGATAAAATACTTTATCAGATCAGAGACAAATGTCAGTCTAAAATATTATATTTTGTATTTAGTGGCTAACAGTTGAGGTTAGGAATATCTGTAGAAAATGCCAGTGAGTAGGAAACATGGCAGTTAGGCCAAACATTATTTATTTCACACTCAGATGTGCAAGAAATAGATAGCTGCTTTATTTCTCTATAACTCATCTGTTCTTTCTCATGAGTTTCTGACTAATGGATAGATGGGGGCAGAGGGGACCAAATTTTAGTTCAGTTAAGTAATTTAGTGCTAATCTGAAGCAATAATATAAGAAGTATATTTAAATAACATGATCTCTGCTGGGTACACATAGGTCAGTGTTTGATCAAACAATGTTTTTCCCTCTTTATTCTTCTTTCTAATATTGCATCTGGGTATTAAGGGAAGGTGTGACTCATGGCAGTAGAGTGCCCACCTCTTATCTTTTAATTTTTATAGTATCCTCTGCATCCTCTTTGATCTTTTTAACCAAGTGTCTGGCCTGATTTTTAAACATTTTATTTTATTATCATAAGAATACTTAACATGAGATCTACCCTCTTTACAAACTTTTTTTTTTAGTTTATAAAACATTAATGCTGACAAGAGGTACTATTCTGTGCATCTTGAGCTTATTCATCTTGCTTGAAACTTTATACCTCTTGATTAGTAATTCACCATTTCTCCCTCCTCCAAGCCCTTGGCAAACCACTTGATTCTATTTATCAGATTGGTTGACTCTAAGGTATGTAGGATAGAGACGAGTGGGGCCATGATTAATAAGCACTTTCTCCTAGAGTCCATGAACTTCCCCCTTTACCTTAGAGTCTCAAGGTCCTTCACAAAAGATCCTCTTTATTCTGACCCTAAGTCTCTGCCAGTCCACCTCTGGCAGTACCTCTGCCTCCCCTGGGGGTCCCTTACATGTCACACACAGGCCATGTGGATTTCTGAGACAAGCCTCAATAAAGCTGTTAAGACTTTCTGCCTCCATCTCTGACTAGCTCATGTGGGACTACACCAATGAAGTCCAGACTATTGCTAGCATTCCATGGCAAAAGTGCTTTGCAAACACAGACCAGAGATTGGCTGGAAAAAATAAGCGTGCCCATGACGGTTGGAAACCTGGTAAGGAGCCCAAGTGTTCTCCTATTTCCCTGTAATTGTTTGTAAGCAACTTCCCACCATTAGCTAGAAGGATCTGGGTGGTGAGACTAAAAAGAGGACCCTGCTGTGTAATCCACTTGCTTTATGAGTGGCTCTCTTTCACAAGGCTGTTTACTTTTCCTTTCTCTACGTAATCCTGCAACAACATACTGGCATCCAAAAGAAACAAGGGGACAGAATTCAGTGATCAAAGGTGAAAAATGACTTTCTTGTTTTACATGGCATCTGTTCTTTTGCTGAGGCATCAAAACACATTGCTTCAAAGGATGGAAACTTCATATTAGTAAAACACTTTAGAAGATAGAAAAATCCATAGGTCAAAAAAATTAAAGAAAGGGGAATATATAAAATACTTCAAAACATAATGAGCCTCGTTACAGATGCAACATCTAAGACTAAGCCTACTGAGTATCTTTATAGAAATTAAGGTTGTAGTCCTTTTGATTTGGGTCTTTACATGATATTAAAAATACTGTAAAACCCACCTGTCCTAATCCTCTACCCTTAGCTTGCATGTAAGCTTTTCTACATGGCCTTTTTCCCATTCAAATTTCTATTTGGGATTAAATGGCAAAGTCATTTTTTTTTCCAGACCATCTATCTAGTATTAAACTTAAGTGCAAAAAAAGTAGAAAATTTAACTATCTCAATAAAATGTAAACAACATAAA